GTTCACTGCTATAGCCGTCAAACACCACTGTTGCTTGATTACCGTACCTTCACGGAACGTACTGGCAGTACAGACGGCACACTTCCTGGTATGTTACTTGCTGTGGCCATGAAACCCGGTGAAGGAGAACACCTCCATCGAGAACGTACTGGACGCTGCCTGTTGGGCCTGACTTTCCATCAGCTGATAGCTGCGCCCAAACTGTATCAGCAAGGGTTGCCTTCTGTGGCGCGCGCAAGGTAAATGGGGTGTCGAACAGCGCAGCCAGATAACTGCAGATTTCGTGTTTGAAGATCTCGCCCAAGTCATCAGAGTTCATGCAGGCGATTACTAGCCGTTGGAATAGTAGTTGCGGATCCACCTGCACTCTTTCACCCTCAACTCGTATGGAAGATTTTGTAGCCAGTGTTACTGCTTGTTCCTTGCGCTTAAATATGTAGGAACTCGCCGACTTTCCCATCATGGACGACAAAATCGTCTCTCTTTCAATTAAAAGAGGAAATGCATTTTCTTTGCTTGCTAAAACTTTCTTTATTTCTTGTTTAACTACGACTTAAAAAACTTTTCCTCTCTCGCATAGATCTTATTATATTATTTTAAAATTTTAGCAGTGCGCGTTTATATTTTACCGTACAAAACTGTGCATTTCCAGCCCCACTCTCCGATAAAAATCATTCCAGATGTATTTATAGTCTATTATTATTAAATATAAGGATGTAAATAACTGAGTTTCATCTTTATCATGAATTATAGTTATGATTTGTGCGGTATTTTACTAGGCATTCGGACGACTCATGATCAGCCTCGTTTCCATGCAGTGAAAGATGCAGCGGTCAACAGCTCCAACAAAACCCAGTTTTTCGATATGTTGCCATGCTAGGATTTTCGGGAACTCTTGATATGTTGTTAAGCAATAAATTCTGAGTCTAAAACCGTTGAGATTTCTTTTGTGGGAATTTGTCCTGCATGACCATATTTTCCACGTAAAATGACTGGACTATACGTGCCAGGAGTTAGATGACGATGTTTGTCTGGGTGCTATAAAATGCTCAGATAATTTCTTGCACATTTGTACTGAAACTCATGAAAGCAAAACTTGTTTTACCATAGCAAAAAACTCTTCTATTATGGAGAAACTTTTAACGTCTTTCGGGGCCCAATATGGTGTAAAATTTTTAGGGAAAAAAAAGGTTGATTTTGGCGAAACGGACGGTAGCTTTTTTCTTTGAAGAGAGCGCGAGCCAAACGCGAGCTTTAAGCCCCGTGAGTACAGTGTAACCCAGTGATTCTGTAGTTAGAGCTAACAAACATAGGCTGCACTTAAGGTGGCGCACCAATGAGTGCAGTGTAACCCAGTGATTTTTTAATTAGGTAGAACTAACAAACATAGACTGCACTTAAGGTGGCGCACCCATAAGTGTAGTGTAACCCAGTGATTCTGTAGGTAGAGCTCACAAACATAGGCTGCACTTAAGGTGGTGCTCCCATAAGTGTTGTGTAACCCAGTGATTCTCTAGGTAGACTGCTAACAAACATTGGCTGCACTTAAGGTGGCGCACCCATGAGTGCAGTCAGGAGGCTCCTGGTGCAGTGTATGTAACCGAGTGTTCTTTAGGCAGAGCTTACTATATAGGTGTACATAGCAACACGTTGTTCATAAAACGTTGTGATGCTACAACTTGCATAGCACCTCGACTATTTCTTTATCGCTAGAAACATTGTTTTAACGCACACTATAGATAGCCACAGGTTGTCTGTTGTCTCAAACCATTTACGCACATCACAGAGGTAAGGTAAGGTAACGGGTAACGTTATTTATACATGGTGTTTGGTTCAGGTACTAAAATAATAATAATAAAAAGCATACTTGACAAGGAGGCCATGTGAAAATGTTACATATCTCTAAATTAAGGCTTTTTAATTTTTCTTGAAAAACATAAAGGGATGTCAATTGTCGCACCTCCACACCCAAGCTGTTCCAAAACACATTTCCGTTATGAGAGAGGCTTCTTTTATAAAATTCGGTACGGGTTTTGGAACAGCGAGTTTGTATTTATTCAGGGGGACCCAAAGACTGTTTTCTCTGAAATATCTGAATTTTCTATAGCTTGAGGCAGGCTAGAAATTTCTACATGACCGTTCCAGTTGTGTACAATTTTCGAAGCTTATCCAATAAAATCACCACAACTCTCCCAAGATGCCGTCTTGGCGGTTTTTTGGTGATTTCATTTAGTTTTTCGATCCGGTTTTGTTTTATATTTTTATTTCCGCAGCTTTATTCGCAGCGAGCGATTAAAATTTATTCGTTGAAAGGAATATTTTTACTTTGGTCAGCAGGTCCTTTTGTTTGCGATATAAACTTAATTTATTTTAGTTGTGACGACATTGACAGCTTTGGAAGAAACTGAAGGTATCCGTATATTGCGCCTCGCGTTTTCGCAAAACGACGGCGGGAGGAATAACATTTTCTTCCAACTAGAGTCATTATAGAGGCAAATAATTTTAAATTATCTCGTTTCCCAAAGTGCGTGGTGCTGAGAACCAGTCGGCAGTAATTAAGCACTAACCTTATTGTTATGGCGAAACTTGAGACGCATTTATTACAACTTGATGACAAGTATAGACCGGTAATCACATCTGTATAGAGGAAATTAAAAATCAAATCCGTGTCATAAAAAAAGGATTATAACACATCGGATACTGCCCGAGGAGCTCCAAAACTCCCATACAATTTACTGTAACAACGTTACCATAAATTGTATGGGACTCTCCAGAATACTTACAGTTTAGGCGATTTGTGTCCCCTCATGTATTTGCCCATTCGGGTATCGCTTAGTATTGTGCATAAAGAAATTTACAAAAAATGCCCTGACATTGAACACACCGAAATCTCCCTTAGCTGTCAGTTTAAAGAGACAGTGTCCAGATTATGCGCACGCGCGTGCGTCATCTGTTTTTTCTTCAAAAGACAGTAGAACTGTCATATTGATTTGACAAGATTTCCTTCCGGACCGCACCACCGACGGAGGTTTGTTGTTTACATTCTCAAGTAATATTTTAGACTTTTGAAAACGTCTTTCGTCTTATTTAAAATTTGGCTCGCGGCACGAAGACTCATCGTGATTTTATCGCTAGCAGGGCCGCCTCGCGACCCGAAAATCTCTTTTCGCTCGCTTTAAAAACAGCTTTCCTAATGTGAAACTCGTGTCAGAGGTCAGTTGTTCCAAATCCAGTAATATTTGCCTGATTTGCTCCTGTTCTAGCCTCAAACGTTTGAAAGAAATAAATAAAAATGCAATCTCAACGCTGTGAATCATCGCAAAGGTTAGTCAAAAATTATATTATGATTTCATTGCACTAGTTTTTCTAAACATGTAACGCCTGTTTGTTTGATTTTGTCGGCCGTAGGGAGGATCATTTAAAAGTTTACTAACGCATTGTTCAAAACATTTTGCTTCACAAAGTTTAATTCCACAACATCTCCTCAGTCACAACATGTCATTTGAGGTCTGGGCGCCTTAGCTAAAATGCTTGGGAACCCGAAGGGCTCCCTGAAATTTTCCTCAGAGCATGACAGCCTTGACTAGTGTATGTGTAACTTGAAAGTTGATTAAAGTGCTTTAAAAATGTAGTTTCAAAAAAAGATGTAAATACGACAATATTTTTAAATATTAAAATATTGAGATTATAAATAACAATATTTAATATTGACATTATAAGTGAAATATTTGTTGTAACCATAATCAATATTTAAGAGAATTATACGGAATTAAGGCTTTTTCGCCTTTTCCCTTCTATTCTCATGGAGGCTATTACGTGTGCTAGCATTCCAGTGATTTTGGTTTTTGAGGCAACGAATCAGTAACAGAACCAGAACTGGGCAAAAATTCGCTTAGTTCACAGACTCATATTCGCTTTTATTTCAAATGAAAATTTTTAATTAAGTGATTGTAAGCATCAGTCACATGATCAATAAAGTCATACTTAGCATTCGTTCATCTCAGTTCAGCAGGGAAGAAGACGTGCCTTTGTTCATCCAACTTTTTTCCATGGTGTTCCGGTAGCCAGAAAGCGTTTTGTTTTACCGGTTCCCACGATTTTACTGCGCCAGTTGATATTTCCATGTGACACTTTACAGGGTCGGTGTCCGGTCATCTGCTTTTTTAAAAACGAATTTTTTAAAAACGAATTTCACAAAATCCAGAGCTAGACTTTAAGCGAAAAGTTCTCATTGTCTAAGTTTAGACGTGGATATACCCATGTAGACTGTCAATCGACATTATTTCACTCTGTTGCTAGAAATGCAGCTTCATCGGAACTGTTCCGCAAAACCAGCTGGCGCAATAGTTCCGACGTCATAACAAGCTTTAATTTGCACGCGCTTTCTGCATAGAGATCGAAGAAATAGTTTTCTTCTATGTTCACTCTTGTCAAGAACTGCAGGTGATATCCGAATTCATTGTCATTTAGACGGCTGCTCTTGAAAATTATTTTCGTTCACATAATCTAGGGGTGTTTTCAGCTGTCGAGCGACGTAAGGCCTAAGAATCCTGATGAACAGTTTTACATGTAATTGTGTTTTTCGCTATAATGTTTTCTCGATTTTTTCATAATTTCATTCAGTCCCTCACTGTTGACGCATGTGATAGAGTCCACACAAAGAAGGTGATTAACTCATTTGCACATCGCAGCCAACACTATAAATCGCAGATATCCTTCGGGAAACTCCGAGTTAAAAAGTTACTTTGACTGATGGAAATGTGTGAAGGTTTTTCGGTATACGCCAGTTTTACAATAATTCATGGAAACAATATCGGAAACTTGAGCAAGTTACCTCCCAAAACAAGTTTGCTCAATAAATCTTTGACTGTAGTTGGGAAAGAAGATTAGTTCCACTGCACGCATTTCTTTCTCCAAACTGTTCGCAAGGTTAAATCTATATTCCTTTGATTTGTTTTAGTGCAAACCACACAAGGCCGATGAAGTGGAAGAAACACCTAATGGTTTCATGCATCTTAAGACCGCTTCTCTTTATACTGCTATTTCTTCCACAAGCATCCTCTAACGAAGGATATGGAAAAAAAAAAGATGGTGACGTTATAGTTGGTGGTCTACTCAACATTCACATTTCTGGCACTAGTGATCAATGTACTGAGATTTCTACCACTGGGCTGGGATACGCAGAGGCTACGATCTTTGCTATTGAGAAAATTAACAAGAATTCCACTATTTTACCGAACGTGACTATCGGCTACGATTTAAGAGACTACTGTTTTAGCAATGCTCGAGCCATGAAAATAGCCTATGACTTCATGTGTGATGGCGATTCAGTACATATGTCTAACCAAAACATCAGCACCTCCCCCACAGGCTATGTCACGGAAACCAAAACCAAGACCATCTCAGCGTTAGTTGGCCCTTTCGATTCCGCTAGCGCAGTGCTAGTAGGAAGTCTTCTTCAGGTTTCTGACATTCCCGCCATCAGCCCGAGTGCAACAAGCGATGAATTGAGTTCACAAATGTACAAAAACGTTTTCAGAACCGTTCCACCAGACAACTGGCAGGCAAAGGTCATGGCAGATATCATAGAGCTCTTTAACTGGACTTACGTGGCGGCTGTCGGGTTAGATGATTCTTATGGACAGAACGGTATTTCGGCCTTGGAAAAAGAATCATACAACCGTAAAACATTTTGCATTGCTTTTTCTGAGTATATTCCACGGCTAGGTTATTGGAATAAAACCAAGCAAACTGTTCTCAAGATTAAAAGGAGGTCTGAAGTGGCAGTGATTATACTTTGGCTTTCTGTTGGTTACGGAAGAACATTTTTTGCAGAAGCAACTACGCAAAATGTAGAAAAGACTTGGATACTTTGCGACGCACTGTCCGGGCGGGGAACATATCTTAACTCTCACCTCACAATACTAAACGGCTCCTTGGGAATAAAGCCACATGACTATTCCGTTCTCGAATTTGAAGAGCACCTTAAGACGATCACCCCTGCAAAAAGCATTGAAAGAGGCGCACACTGGTGGGAAGAGTTCTGGAGATTACATTTTAACTGTTCCGCCACAAACTCCAAACAGTTTGGGGTCGCACTTTGCGAAGCAAATCTGACGGTAGACCATGCGCCACAAAAGATAGGCGGCCCCTTCGTTTCTTACATAATTGACGCTGTATATGCTATTGCACATGCCCTAGATAACATTTACCGCTGTTCTCTTAGTATAAATGGTGCTGGTTATATAGGAAAGTGTCCTCCAGTCAAGCCGACTGTCAAGGGACGTGATCTGGAGAAATATCTCAAAAATATCAGTTTTGACGGGATGACTGGTAAAGTGCGATTTAACAAGTTTGGAGATCCTTTAACTGCTTCATACGACATCATAAACTTTCAGCTTGACTCAACCACCGGTAGGACTCTCAAACATATTCGGGTCGGATCTTGGAACAAAAATACCACGCCTAACCTCAGGGTAGATTTGTCCAGGCTACGATGGAGAACTCTCTACACCCCGTTATCCTTTTGTTCATCAGAATGTTTGCCAGGTACCAGGAGGGAATTCAACAGGCCATGTTGCTGGGACTGCATAAAGTGTCCAAAGGGAACTGTCAGTACTGAAAACGGATCCACCAATTGCACAAAATGTGACTTGGAGACAAAATCAAACGAAGAGCAAAACAAGTGTGAAAAATTAGCGATCATTAACATCACTCATACAACCGCCTATGGAATCGCGATAATCTTGATGGCTTTGATCGGGTTTATTCTCACGTTGTTAGTTTGCGGCATCTACATCAAGTTTTACAACAGCCCAATCGTCAAGGCCTCTAACAGAGAGATCTCTTTTTTGCTGCTCTTTGGCATCTTATCTCTCCACATATTAGCAGCCCTTGAACTTTCTGAACCCAGCCATTCACTTTGCACCGCAGCATCTTTCTGGCGTTATTTTGCTCTCAATCTTTGTATCACGGTGCTCTTTCTGAAAACAATGCGAATAACAAGTGTTTTTGAGGTTGATAAAGTGGCGCAGTTGTTTGCTCCCTGTTACAAAACCCTTACAAGGCAAAGTGTGTTCCTTTCTGTCATGAATTTAGCCTCCCTTTGTTTGTTGGTCCTCTGGATTTTTTTGGACTCTCCGAGGCGTAAAAAGATTATTCGCTTTGATGAGTACGTCTTCCTTGTGTGCAAACCTTTTGAAACAAACGCCGGCCTTGCACTCTTTATCTCGGTGTGTGCTTACACGTTAATTGTGGCTTTCTTATGTACGTATTACGCTTTCAAAGCACGAGGAATTCCCGATAACTTTAACGAGACAAGGTACATCGGCTTCTCTATGTACATTCTACTGTTGTCATCGCTGGCATATTACCCTGTGGCGTTTGCTTTTGAGAGCTGGTACGTGACAATTGTATCTTGTACTACGACGTTAGTAACTTCGTTCGGTTTGTTGGGATGCATGTTCGGACCCAGAATCTACATTCTCTTTTTCCAGTCCCAGCAAAACACCATCGAAAGCATCAGGTCGCAGGTTATGGGTTTCTCCTTTAGTAATGTAACTTCAACCAGAGCTTTGCCTGGACAAATTAATGAAGAAGTACCTAACGGTGAGCTGGATACCGAAAATTAAACGACGGATTGCAGATTGCCAACCAGCCATTCTTTCGACCAGTAAAATGAAAATATACTTCGAACGTCTCAATCGACTCAAACTTTGCTAAACTGTTTTTTGTGTATAATTTCATGAACTTATTTAAAGTTACTGGGCTTACTGACAGACAGCCTTTGTATAGGTAATGGCAATTGATTAGTAGTGATATTTGCCATAAATACCACGAGTGAAAAATGAGTGAAAATGAAATGCAAACGAAGGTTAAATTAAACCACAACAGATCCATGGTATTGTTTATACACCCGTGGTCTGACGCGGAGGAGGAGTGTTTGATGAGAGAGCGTCTCATCCAAAATCAATTGATCCAGGAGGAACTTATTAAGGAACACACCCTACTGGTTCGTCAACCAGCTGTTCTTATTGTCTGTAAACGTGTTTATAAGAGCTTTTTAAAAGAATTTAAAACCAGTAAGGGAAAAATGTCTTTTTATGTAACTAGATTTTAACGTTTCCTAGTGGCTCATGACATTTCTAAACATTTTATACGCGTTAAAGCCAAACCGGATTTACCATTATCCTAACTCCACGCAGCCGAAACCTTCGCACAGTCATTTACGGTCAGTGCTTCTTCAACTCAATTCAAATAAAATTGCTTCTAAGAGCCTGATTACGTGACCTAGACAGCATCCCTTAGTCAGGTTTTCAAGCTTGCTCGGTTGTACAGTAGTTAAGGTGCCGAGGCTCAGCAGAGCGGTAAACCGGGACAATCCGGCTTATGTAATTGAAAAGGCCCCGAGGGGAATTTCACGGCATAGCGAGCCGTGATGAAATAGCTTAGTCCCTCCGCCTCATTTGATTCTTCAGCCACTTTTTTAGGCCTCAGAGATAGAAACGTTCTTGCGGTAAGCGACTGTTAACTAGCGTTATATGAAAAACTTCATAAGTTATAAGGGTTTATAAACGAGATAGTACGCGCCATCTGATTGTTCAAAAACGTATGGTTTATTCTACCGGTAAACCCATAGAAAAAGGCATCCGTACCACGAGCCATAAACAAAACCGGCTATTGATCTGCAAACAACGATTTTAGAAAGGCTAAAAAACAGAACAAGTTACTTACTGAGCGTCACAATTCGCTACTGCCATAGCTTTAAAAGTTATAAAGTCAAAGCTTGAAAGCAGTTTACATTTCGCGACGATGCCACATCGCAGAGAAAGACAACAACTGTGTGAATTTCTGGTGTAGGAAGTCTCTAGGAAAACTTAACTATACTATATGCCAACCAGCAACACAACGGATAGTTTTAGCATCCTTGATTTATTTTATGTCAAAATTAAATTCCTGAATGAAAGAAATTGTTCCAAAAAGAGATATGGTACAAAATCGGCCGCTGCAGGTTGTAAACAAGCTGCCAACGATGATGACAGATGTCAGAGTTTCGGGCCGGTTTTTTCCAACAATCGCACAAATTATTTGGTAATATCGATGCCATAACCTACTTCAAACCACCTGACTTTACAAATCGACAAATATTAACGCCAATATGTGGCTGCGGCAAAGAAACCTTTCTCCAAATTTAGAGCTACCACTGACATATTTCCATCGTACGTAAGTACATAAGTTACCTGCGACAACTTCGCAAATGCAGCCACGTCGTTACCGCAGCATTTCTTGATCATGGTTAATGAAGTTCTCTATTACAACAGCTGCCAGTTTCGTCTCTAAGCACGAAATTTTTACGGATCGACTCAACAAAATACAGCTGCGTACAGTTTGATGTGCAATTTTCTACTTCTGTAGTAAACAAACCATGAACGTATTCTTTCACATTGTAAGTTGGCATTAATATGTGTATATACTAAATGCATATTCTAAGGTTCGAGTTCCCTTTGGTTTCAAAGATACAGGAATGACAGGTTTGACGAGGCCTCAAGGGGCCGCCATGTTGGTAAACTGAAGGAGGTTTACAATAATTAATTCTGATCTAGTCTTATCATTAAAATAACTTAATCATGACTCAATAACAGTTGCAAAGAACTATCCTTCCTCCCTTCTTTTACCAACTCTTATCTAAAAATGGTTTGGCCTGAGCTATGAACGGCTAATAACTTCTCACAACACTTTTTCGGTACTTAAAAGGTACACAAATTTGGTAGAAATTGGAAGGTCAATATCACCCATGCCACATCGATTTAGACTAAGCCATTTTAACTAAACATAGTTTGTTTTTAGATAAGTTAGATTGTTGAATAAAATAATTGGGCAAATGTATGTAGTAGAACTATAATTTCATGAATGCGCAATAGTTCAGCCACTTGGCCGCTAAAACGTCCAAACAAAATTCGGTGGATATTTGAAAAGAAAAGTCGTAAAAATTGATCGTGCGTCTCAAAGCTTATCTATCGCTTAAAAAACCCTCACTTGTAATGTAAAAAGATGATCTTTTGTTTCTGATCTTGCTGAGAGCTTGAAATATGCGCTAACATGAAAATTATAAATTTTGTTACACACAGTACTCGCTCAAGTTCGCTCTTCGATTTGCCAGACCAATCGGGAGCCGCTCGTGTGCACAGTTACAATTTTCTCTGTAGTATTTCGCGTGATCTCTCTCCCACCCCCTTTCCCCATCCATAACAAAACGTTTTCAGACCAACACTGAAGGTACGTACAAAAATATGACCATCTCGATGCAAGGTTCATCACTGTAACTTACCACATAAAAGCCTTTTCATTGTTTGCAATCGACTTATTCTGTTCTGAATACTGAGGTCCCATAAACAACGCCACGTTTGGAAAGAGCCCGCCCTTTTCAATCCAAGAAAACCCAAGTAGCAATTTCACCAAAGGACATAAAGCCGTAAAAAAAGGTCCGCGTCAAATAGTTCATAAAACTCATAAACGCCTCATGAGACCTTTACTTCACTCTTTCTTCAATAAACAAATTTTTTAAGGATAAATGACGTCAGAATTCGCGATGGGGATAAGCATAGTAGCTTATGAAAAAAATTTAACCAATGCCGATGAAAGCGTGTAAGACGGGAACTATGGGAAATTAGTAACATCGTGCGTACCGCTGGAAACATATTGGCTAGTTCTCTGAACAGACACAATTAAAACCGTTTTTGTTCAGTAAGGAGCAGTTAGAAGGGGCAGGAAGCGACATAAAGTAGGTCGCATCAGAATACGGTACAAGACTAGGCTCTTAAAAATCGATAAGCATGCAAGACCAATCATTATAAGTAAAACAAAGAAAAATTCCTTGAGGGAAAAACTTATGGCTAGGGAAAGGACCCGAAAGTAGAAAGTTAGGATCGTAGCTTCTTTTCAGTAACATTTCCTCAGGCCCGTACATGCGTAAAAAAATCTATAAAGGTTAACAAGCTACGATCTTCTCTCTGACTAAAAAAACCTAACCGACTGGACAGTGCTCTAAAAATAGATAAGCGACGATTTTTTTTCTATACATTTGAACGAAAAGCTATAATGATCTCAGCAGTGACCCGATAAGGACCAAAGAAGCATATATCACTAAGGCACCAAGCCAAGGGAAAATAGAGCAAAAATTTCCATTTTTTCCCATGACGAAGAGCACTAGTACCTGTTTGACACGAACGGACCTATGAAATTAAGGTTTTCTTCCCAAGTGACAAAATAAATCTTTAATTTTTTTGTTCCAAGCAAAAGTGTAGTTACCGTAAATGATCGATTACGCGCCGCTACTCGAATAAACGCCGCTCTCGAATAAGCGCCGCAGCGCTCATTTGATTTACCATAAACGCCCCACCTTTGATACGGCACTCGATATAAAAAGATATCAAAACCATATCGCTTGACAAACAAGACCACGACCCACTCGTGAGTTCTTAAGTTTTAATGTACGGAAACCTTCGAAACCAGGTTCATATAACAGTTCGAGGCGTGCATATTCGTCCTTTCATTCTTGCCCAACTCTGAGTTCTCTCTATATTCCCCTTAGTATTTTACCCGTTGTTGAAATAAGCGCCGCTCCCCAATAAGCGCCGCACCTTTAACATGGAAAATGAAATAAGCGCCGCGGCGCTTAATCGATCTTTTACGGTAACTTCCGATGTCCCGCGGGCATATCGCAAAGACCGGATGAGAGTATAACACATTCAAGAAGAAACAAATTTGTTTTTTTCACAACTCGATAAATAACTAAAAATGTGTACTCCTATTATACAAGATTTTTCTCTTCAATTTCAGATTTTTACGATGGAGCATTATCCCCCGTCCTCACTAGACATTGCTTTAAAATCTTCGTGTTAAAATCAGTGAAACACTTCATTTCCATGGTGTACATTTTGAAGAACATTTGAAAACAATTTGGATTCCTGCCCTTATACCTTTATTGAAAATTAAAGTTGGGTAGTTGTTGTTTTCTAAAAGTAGTTTGAACAGCCGAACCAACATTGTTTACACGGAGCGGGGAAGGCAAACCTTCACTTTTCCTTTCTAAGGTAGAAAGTGTCAGCAAAACTTGAGAGCCGTCGTTGAGGGCAAAGTGTCTAACCTAATTTTCTCATCGATTGCAAGTGCCATTTCATCCACGCATAACCTCACCAAGTTAACAGAATTACCAAATGTAATGGGGAAACGTTACGCCGGAACTGAGTAAGAAGTTAGGGTAAGTTTTGAAAATTATGCTCACACTTGATCCTGGCTACGCTCCTGGTAGAGACTTTTGCTGGAGAGAAATTGAAACATGCTCTCTAATATAGTGACTACCAGAAAAGAAAAGCCATAGGATAGTTCCAGAAAACCACCTATTAAAATAGATCATGAAGTTGTCGCGGCGGAGGATGAACTTGAAGGCTTCTGATCAAGTGCAATTTTTTAAGCGAGCCCAGACAAGATTATGTTCGATGGGCACAGCTTGTTGGACGTCTTACTAACAAGCACATTACCACTACTTGTCTTCAGAGGCCTTTTTGAGTGGACGAGCAGAGAAAATTAGGTTTTGACGGTTAGAAATTGAGGATGCCAGAGTGAAGACGCC